TATATATATAGTATGACTTGCATTAACTGTAATTACCATACAGAGATACTAATTTACACCCTCACAAATAAAAAAAAATGACCTTAAACCTTTGTCCTAGTCAAACAACAGCCACTGTTTTTACAGTATATGCATGCAGTGCAGCAAAAGGTCATCTGATGGCTTTGGATTTCAAAGTATAAAAAAATTCTTAATGAGTCCAAACAAAACATGTGAATGTTTATTTTGCTGAGTTTTTGTGGAAAAGATGAAAAACAAGAATGGAAAAACAGGAAACAATACAATAAATCCTTCATTATATGGATAATGAAAGGGATAAAAGAACAGGATGTTTACTTGAATTGTGGTTTTATGCATCCAGGCGTGCACTTTTGAGCAAACACCATAAACACACAACAGGGAGTGTGAAGTGATTGACAAAACACATCATAACTGTCAATGCAAAAAGAGAGGAGAGCAACACAGAAACACATCCAAAGAAAAGAAGCCACCTCAGGAAACGAAGATGACTTCTCTTTGTCTCAGAGAGCACTTTGTGGCTGAGTGTCAAGCAGTTACTCAGTAAAGCAGGAAGCASAGGAAGGAGGGGGTGTGTGTGTGACAGTGCATAAAGGTACATGCTGCTGGACTTGGGCCGGGGCACATACAGCAGTGTAGAAACAAAGGGAACAGCAGCAAGCAGATTGGGCAGAAGCATTGCTTCAGTACCTTTGTGTATGCCCTGCATGTCCTTTCTCGTTTTTGAAGCTTTGTTTTCATTAAAAAAAGAAGAAGAACAGATAGAAATTAGATATAGATAATTTGTACGAGTGAGGGAATTATTTTCATCTTTTTTGGTAAAAAAATGTGCATGTCTGGGTTATGGATGTACAAATTATTTAATAAATGAGGATAGAAATCACTACCCACTGCCTTGAGCCAATGATCTGTTTATGAAGAGMAAAAAGGGCTGCAGCTCATGTTCATCACATATTTTATATTCATGTTTTCTATTTCTACCCACCTGCACTTCACACAGGAACACCAAAATGTTGTGGTCATTAGGGTACAAATAATAATATTAACACTAATATCTGTGACATCGAATGTCTAAAACATTGTTTTTAGTTCTTGTTCTGAAAAGTCAAAGAATGCCTTTTAYTTCAAAATCAGACAAGTTATTGAATGCCTCATTTAATAAAGGTATTACCCAATATGGGTATTAGCTTGTATTATAATCTTGCCAGTGAAATTTCAATGCCATGCACACTCCGGCTGTAGGGAAATTCAGCAAGACAAAACTGGAGAAAAGACGGATTTAGTTTTGCTTCATTTGGCGCTGCTCACTGGTGCTTCTGGTTACCTTATTGAAGCTCCGTCCTGCAGAATCCTTCTCGCTGGGTCTAAGCTCCTGCAGCTGAGCATCGAGGATATCCACCAACTGCTCCATCAGGCGCACTGTGGAGGTAATGTCTCCGGCAAAGATTGGGCCTTTGGTGTGCTTGGCTAACTCGTTGGCCAAGTTCGCTGCGTTTTCGCCGCTTCGGATCTGCAGGAGATGAGGGTGAATAATGTGTACAAGAAAAGAAAACGACAGACTTGGTGGGATCTTTGCAGCTCTGTTTCTGGCATAAAGTCGTACAAGACTGAGCCCTTAAAATCTCACTTTTGAAGCTTTTGTGCATTGCAATATAATGTCTGGTCATAAAAA